CATCACGGGTATGCTAACCCGCCACGGGTTACGGGTAGGGGTCGTGCGGGTAAGGGTACGGGTAGGAGCTAAGAGACCCGGCGGATTTGAACCCGTACCCGCCGTATGCCCGTGACCCGAGCGCCTGACCCGTCACTTTCCTCTTATATCTGCATCTACTGAACGCTGGGCGCCTTCCTTGATGGGCACAGCCAATGAGCGGAAACGGAAATACTCGGATCCGGCAGCTGTACAGTACTTATGTAATACAAGGGTTACCATGGACATGGGCTAAGTCTTGGACTACCTGGCGCTGCCAGACTCCAGCGAAACACATCCTCAACTCCCCATCCCCTTCCAACGTAATGGCCAGTACGAGCAAGCGCCGCAACGCATCGACGGGGGACAACGAGTCTCGAAAGAAGGCACGCAGCACCAAGACAGCGGCCCTGTCGACAGACAGCAGCAAGACGGGCAGTGCCTCGTCATCGCGCGCCCGCACCTCATCGCGCGGTGGTGCTTCATCGGCTGGAAGCAGCCGTGCTGTCACCGGCACTTCATCTACTACTAGCGCACGCGCCGGTCGGTCTACATCATCAGTCGCACGCGCGGCATCCCAGACCTCGAATACATCGGCGCCAGCACGTGCTAGCCGGACGGTGACCTGCCGTACCGAAGAGGAAGAGCGCGCTGAGCACGTTCGCCAGGGCGTTGTTGATGAGGAGGAGCCAGACACGGCGGAGGGTGCGGGAGATGGCGAGTCGACCGTGGATGCATCCTCCATAATAGATGTCGATGCGATCAAGGACGAGGGTGTGTCGGAGGAGGAGTCGTCTGAAGCAGAGCTCGGTGAGTGATGGCACAAAGCTGCAAGCTGTTGACGGGCTTACGGAGTTTCTCAGAGCGCCTCCGCGCCAGCTGGACGTCACCGGTCTATGGATTCTATGGCGCTACTCCCGAGATCATCTACGTCGGTTCGCGTCGCGCCCATCTATTCAAGTGTCTTGCGAAGGGGTGTACACGTTCGTGCCGCCGCTTCCTCGACAAGGGCGACGTGTCCTCCACTGGTAATCTTCGGCGGCACGTGAAGAAGTGCTGGGGAGAGGCGGCGTTGAACGAGGCAGACGAGGCAGCGAATATCGACGAGGTCCGCGAGCACATCGTCAAAGGCCTAAAGCGGGACGGTAAGATAACCGCTAGCTTCGAGCGGAAGCAGGGGAAAGTTACGTACTCCCATCGCACTCATACTCGGGCGGAGACAAGGTACGTTTGGCCACATTTGTTGTATGCGCTGCACGGTGCTTGACGCATCTGAACAGAGTTGAGATTGTCAAGTGGGTAACGCAGAGTATGCGTCCCCACCTGATCGTCTCCGACCCCGGGTTCCAGTGCTTGATGAAGACGGGCAGGCCGGGTTACTGGATCCCGTCACCGTCCACCGTGGCACGCGACATCAAAGTAGTCTACAAGAAGACGCGCGAGAAGATCGCGCGCATGCTACAGGAATACGAGGGCGATTTGAGTTTCGCAACTGATGCGTGGACATCCTCAAACCATCGCGCGTTCATCGCGGTCACCGTACACTTCGTGCTGAATGGGGAGCCAATCAGCATGTTGCTCGATCTCGTGGAGGTTGCGGAGGTAAGGGCCACGGTGTGATACTTACGTGATCTGCAACTAACGTTGTACTACTTGCCCACTCTCAGTCGCACTCGGGAGAGACCCTTGCCGAGGCCTTCCTAGAGGTTTTGGGAGACTTTGGGATAGAGGAGAAGGTTTGCTCCTCGCAGAACGATGGGCGTATGTTGAGCTGACGTTTGCAACGCAGATGCTCGGTGTTGCATGCGACAACGCGTCACCAAACGATGTCATGGTCGACATCCTCGGGGACCATCTTGACGCGTTCGAGGGTAGCCTTGGGCGTGTCCGTTGCTTTGCGCATGTAATCAATCTCGTTGTCAAGACGCTCCTACGCCAGTTTGACGTACCTGCGAAGGCGAAGGCGCAAGGTGCAGCGGACGCGGAGGATGACGAGCTCTTGGAGCTGGCTGCCGAGGAAGAAGATGGGGGCGATGAGGACGACGGTCTCCTCGACGAGGGCGAGTTCTTGGCAGCGTCGAGTGCAGAGGAGGATGCTGAGCCGGAGGGGTGGGTGGATGAGGTCGCCGCAATGACAGATGAAGAGCGGTTGGAGTTTGAGCGGAAGGTTCGACCTGTGCAGATGGTGTTAACGAAGGTAAGTCCTCAGCTTGTTTGTGATCATCTCGCAGGTGCTGGAGCATGACTACGCACCAATAGCTGCGCAAGTTTGCGTCCAAAGTAGTCCACTCAAGCACAATTCTGCTCCCGGCGTACAAAAAGCGTCTTGCGGAGTTCAAGCTTCCCGAACGGTTGATTCCTCGCGACGTGAAAACACGCTGGAACTCAACCTATGACATGCTGAGCATCGCCGTCGAGTACCGCAAGGTTGTCGACGCGATGTGCGCAGACCGAGACCTGGAGTTGAGGAAGTTCGAGCTCAGCGCGCGCGAGTGGACCATTGCGCACCAGCTCACGGATGTGCTCAAGGTTTGAACTTAAACCTTAACTTGCCAGTTAGCCACGCGAACTGACGAATCTTATTTCCACCTTGAACCTTCGGCCATCGCCTTGCTGGCCCCGCGCCTCGTCCCTCTTCCTGCTCTTCCGCTGCTGTGGACAGGTCTTCAAGGATGCCACGAAGTTCTTCTCGCGCGGGACACCCAACCTCGCGACTGTCATCCCAGCTATGGACCTGATCGACCAACAGCTCGCATCCAAGCACAAGATGACGGCCAAGTACGATTTTGCAATCCGCACCGCAATGGGCCTCGCCAAACGTACTCTGAACAAGTACTACGAGCTGTCGGACTCCTCAGAGGCGTATAGGATCGCTATGAGTACGTTTTAATTGCCCTCCGCGACCTCACACAGCTGACATGGCCCCGCCATTGCCAGTTCTTCATCCCAGCTTCAAGAAAGCGTACTTCGAGCAGGCTGCCTGGCTTCCGGAGTGGATCGAGACCGCCGAGGGCCTTGTCCGCAAGCGATTCGACGCCAAGTATGCCGACCTCCCTATGCCTGATGAGCTCGACGACGACGAGGCCGTTCAAGGCGACGACGAGGGCAATGACGCCCCGAAGGCCCCTCGCGCTTCCGCGGTATAGAATCCTGACTATCATCTTGTGGTCTGCGCTGATCTTCTTTGCTCAACAGAGCAAGCCGTCGGACAAAGAGATCAACATGTTCGACAACCTCCCATACCTGACCGGGGCTGGCAAGCCGTTGGATACGGACGAGCTAAAGCGCTACCTTGCAGCCGACGTCGAGCGTGTGGAGCACCCAATTCAGTGGTGGCAGGACCGGAGGACAAAGTACCCTCGTCTTTCCCGTATGGCGATCGATTATTTAACCATCCCGGGTGCGTACGCCGAACACCTGCGTCCTTGTTAGACTTACTGATAGCGCTTTCAGCGACTTCTGTCGAAGTTGAACGAATATTCAGCCGCGGCCGCCTTCTACTGTCCCATGTCCGCAATCGGATGACAGCAGAGAGCACGCGCGCCAGCATGTGCCTCGGCATATGGGCCAAGCACGGCCTGGTGGACAAGGCAGTCATGGTCGCAACCTCTCAGCTACCGGAAGTCGACGAGCCCGACGAGCAGGAGTAGTCTTAGCCCCCGACATCCCCGTACATACTAGCTGTATCTAGTCACCTCATGGCCCTGCGCACGCGTTCAGCGGCGCGCATGCACGCACACTATCTTTCTGACTCCCCTAGGAGTACTGTTGATCCTCGATCTCCGGGGCCCTGTGTATGGCTCTTTTGCTCTGATTCTGATGCACGCCTTGTCCGATCCCGCCGCGCGCACTCTGCTGCGCCTTGCGGCAGCTACTAATCTTTGGATTGCAGATATCGATCGCACTACCGGGCCTATATAATGCAGGGCGCGTTGCGCCGCCGCCGCCTCCCTCTGTGATCACGCAGCTCGCCGTCGTCACCGTCCACCTGCTCCTCAGTCCGCCATGGCCAACGCTGCTCAGCAAGCGGCTCCTGTCCCTCCTCCGGACTCCCCTCCGATTCTGCGGTTCATAAGTGACGCCTGGACGAGCCATCGCGCGCGCGGGACGTTCTGGGCGTTGATGGCACAGCTGGAGGATGCTACAACGGTGGTCAACGTAAGTCCTGTGATATTTGTACTGGAAATTTGAATGCGCCGATACTGACACTATGTACATGCACAGTTTGTGCTTCCAAATGACTACGCCGATGCCGTGCAGTCGCGCGAGCGTTGGCAGGGCTGGCTTGATCTGATTGAGCACCCACACGGTCAGGGGATCCTCCCGGCAACCACTACCGCCCGCCAACGCGCCGCTCTTCGCGGGCTTGCGCGCGTCCTCATCAGCTTCGGGATCGAGAACTCGTACGACCATCCGGAGCAGGACTGGGTGCACCTGTTCGATCGCATGCGGAGGGCCGCTGCCACGGAGGGGCTAACCGGCGAGGAACAACTCGAGCTGGTGCTCGACTGGGCCCGTGCTGAGTACAAGGTACGATTTTACTTACTTACTGGTAACTTACTCACCTCAGTAAAGCTACCAGGCCTTTAGGGAGTGGAAACACGCGCGCACTGAACCCGGCGGTGACATTGGCGGCGATACGACGCATGGTGGACCATCTGCAGCACATGCGGTGGCCTCGGAGGGCGCTGTCTCGGATGGTGACACCAGTGACAGCAGCATGCCGTCCTTGCTCACAGTGGGCGGCTCAGACTCGGAGTAGTGTTCGAGTAGCAGTACATATGTTTTCGCGTGTACAGAATCAAGAATGGCAACGTTTTCCGGGTGTTTATGTTTGTGGGATCCACACCCTAACCCGAGGCCAACCCGCGGCGGGTACGGGTAGCGCCTGACCCGCACGACTCGGTGCCTAAGCCATGACCCGTTCAAACCCTCGGGTGCACGGGTGCGGGTTCTACGGGTACGGGTACGGGTACGCAGAAATTGACCCGGGGGTGACCCGTGATGAACCCTAA